GCTTAACAACTGAGCCACCCAGGCGCCCTGAAAAACTTGTTTTCTGACAGTGCAGCGGTGTTCTGGGTGGGCTCAGTGCCGTGACCCACAGGGTCATCCAGGATCCCTTCTGTGTTGGTCTCCCACCATCCTTTAGGTCAGGGGTTGGCAAACTTTTTCTGGAAAGAGCCGGATAGTAAATATCTCTAACCACGTGGGCAGCTTTGCAGGTTATTCAGTCTCTGCTGAATCTACTCAGCTCTGCCTTCTGAGCTCAAAAGCAGCCATGGATGGTGCATGAGTAAATAGGCATGGCCATGTACCAGTAAAACTTTATTTAAAAAGAAAAAGCGGGCACCTGGGTGGCTCAGTTGGTTAAGCGTCTCCCTTTGGCTCAGGTCGTGATCCCAGGGTCCCGGGATCGAGCCCCATGTTGGGCTCCCTGCTCAGTGGGGAGGCTGCTTACCCCTCTCCCCCTTGCTCGTGCTTTTTCTCTCGCTACCTCTCTTTTTCTCCCTCTCAAATCAATAAAAAATCTTTTAAAAATTAAAAAAAAAAAAAAGGGCAACCGGCTGGCTCACTTGGTAGAGCATGCGACTCTTGATCTCGGGGTTGTAGGTTCAAGCCCCACATTGGGTATGGAGAATACCGAAAAATAAAATCTTAAAAAAAAAAAGGCTGCGGGCCAGATTTGGCCCACAGGTGGCTGTTTGCTGACCCCAGTCCTAGTGGTTCTGAAGTGTTTTGAACTCAGGACTCCTTTATATTCGTAAAAATTATTGGAGATCCCGAAGCATTTTTATTTATAGTAGTTGTGTCTATGGGTATATATCATATTAAAATGTAAGGCCAAAAAATTTCAGAGTATTTATTAATGCATTTAGAAATAGAAGTAATCAACGTTTCACATATTGACATAAATAACATTTTTTAAATGGAAAATAACCGTGTTTTCCAAAACAAAAAATTGGAAATGTGGCATTATTTTTCTGCGAAGCTCTCCAATGCCTGTGGGCTGTAGGACTCCCAGCTGCCTCCCCCCGCTGGTTGCCGGCAGCACCGTCCCCCTGCCCCCATCCAGCAGTCAGGAGTCTCCGGACATTTCCAGCTGTCTCCCGGGGTCACGTCACTCCTGGTGGAACCACTGCCGCGTCCGGGTCCCCTCCTTCAGGAATGGGGAAGAGGAAGAGGAGGGCACACAGCTTCCTTGGGGGCGGGGGGATTAGACAGAGGAGGAAGGGGAGAGTGGATGGGGGCCAAGTCCTTGTTCCCGATCCCTGGACGTGACTGGGGGCCCATCCGTGTATGGGGCAGCTCGGGCAGCCGCAGGAATACCACAGACTGGGGCTTCAACAACAGACGCTTATTTCTCAGTTCTGGGGCCAGAGTCCACGGTCAGCTGCAGGGAGATCCGTGTCTGGGCGGCAGTGGGCAGCCTGCTTATCTTCTCACGTGGCAGAGCACATCCAGGAGATTTCTGTTGCTCTAAGGGCACCGATCCTGTCGGATTCCGACCTCATCCTTATGGCTTCTCTGAGTCTCTTCTCCCAGTTTTATTGAGGTGTAACCAACGTACAGTGTTCTGTTAAGATACACGTGACAATCTGACGTGGGTACATTGTGACACGGCGAGTTCGGTCCACGTCTGTTGACTCGCATAGTCACCCTTGTTTTTTCTTGTGATGAGAGCTTGTAAGCTCACTCCCCTAGCAGCTTCCAAGCAGACAGCACGGTCTCGTGAGCCCCAGTTGCCACGCTGTACGTTAGATGCCCCCCCACGACTTACTCGTCTTCTAACTGAAGCTTGTAGCAGCTCAGCGGACATTCGTGTGCTCCCACTCATCTCCCCAAGCCCACCTCCAGATACCGTGGTGCTGGGGTTAGAGCTTCGTGTGGATTCGGGGGACCGTGAATGAGGAAGCGGTTGCAGGGCGGCTTTGGAGTAGGCATCGTGAGCATCTGCTGCAGGGGACGCTGGGGACGCGGGGTGTGCGTGTCTTCGGGGCGAGCAGTTACGATGACGATGGCGCTGACGAGAGCTCAGGGCTTTCTGAGCACTTGCTGGTGCCGCGCGCTGTTCCAGCTCTCTGTGTGTTTACCCGTCACACGAAGCTGAGGGAGGAGACCGAGCAACAGCAGGGCCCGCGGCCACCCGCAGGGAAGGGCAGAGCCAGGGTCTGAGCCTGGGCCGTCCCAGGACGGGGATCCGAATCTCCCTCCCTTCAGCACCTGTTGTGTGCAGGGCCCTGGGCACAGCAGCCCACAGGCGCCTTCCTTCCCAGGCACTCCTCCGTCGGCCGTGCAAGGTAGGGGAGCACTTCGACCTACAGGGGAAACGGAGGCACAGAGGGCACCCGGCCCTGACCTCTGACGTGGGCACGCGTGGGTGCACCCGGCCAGGGGCAGTGGTTTCTCGAGTCACTGAGCTGGGCTCTGACGGTGCTGAACTCCCCTCCCCACAGGCGCTGCCGTCCCTGCGGGGCTCACGACCCCCATGGAGGTCCCGTCTCCCCAGCCCGTGAAGCAGGAAGGCCCGTCGGCTGAGGGCCTGACCCTGGACTCGCCCTGGCACCGCTTTCGGCACTTCCACCTGGGCGACGCGCCGGGCCCCCGCGAGGCGCTGGGCCTGCTGCGTGCCCTGTGTCGCCAGTGGCTGCGGCCCGAGCTGCACACCAAGGAGCAGATGCTGGAGCTGCTGGTGCTGGAGCAGTTCCTGAGCGCCCTCCCCGCCGACATCCAGGCCTGGGTGTGCAGCCGGCGGCCCCGGAGCGGGGAGGACGCCGTGGCCCTGCTGGAGGAGCTCTGGGTGAGCGCAGGGTCGGCGGGGTGGGGGGCCCTGCTCGCACCCACGCCCCTCAGCTGCCGCCTCACCTGGCTGGAGACCGGCCTCCCCGCTCCCTGCCTGGCCTCTGCTCTCCCGAGGGCCGCTGGTCCCAGGACACGATCGAGCGTGGGGAGGCTGTGGGGCGGGTGTGTGCGTCAGGCTGGGAGCGCGGTGCAGAGGGGTGGTCCCCGAGACGCCCTCCTGTTGAACGATTCAGAAGGACTCAGAACCATCCGAAAGCCGTCTTGCTCACAGTTGGGGTTTGTCACGGCAGAAGGACGCGGATCCGGTCCGCGGGGGGAGGAGGCGCAGGGCTCCAGCCCAGCCCCGTGCACGGAGCCTCTAGCTGTCCTCTGACGGGGGCATGTGGACGGTCCTCCTGGCCACGGAGCGTGACAGGGTGCATGCGGTATCGCTGGCCGGGCTGGCTCCTTGAGCCTTGGTGCCCAGAGTTTCTGCTGGGCTCCGCTGTGCACGCATGACCTGCCTCGCCCTCCAGCCCCCCTGGAGGCTGAGCGCATCTTGGGTGTCTGAAAGCCTCCATTATAAACTGCACTGTTGGACTGGCCAGTGTGGCCCCAGGCCCCCACGCACACAGTCGCTCGTGTCGGGTGGATGCCCCAGGGCCTTAGAGGTCACCTCCCGGGGAGACCAAATGCTTTACTAAAGGCAGGGGCTCGCCCGCCAGGAGCCTATGGGCCCTGCCCCCACCGGTTTTGTGGAGTGTGACAGAACCTCCCGGGGGCACAGCCGGGCCGGTCCATTCACGCGGTGCCTGTGGCCCTTTTGCCACAGGACTGAGCGGGGCAGTGCGGACACAGTCAGCCGAAAACCTTTACTCTTGGTCCGTTGTAGGAAAAGCCCGCTGACCCGCAGTTTAGAGCCGCGCTGTCCAGTGAAAATGGGACGTGAGTCCTGCCTGTAGCACGTTAGAAAGGGTGGAAGGAACATGCGGCTTTAATTTGTTGAACTCAGCGTATCCAGCCTGTTACCACCTTGGCAGGTGGCACGTGTCCCCTTTCCAGGTGCTCAGCAGCCACGTGTGGCCGCATGGTGAGAGGTGGCGGGAGCCTGGTGGGTGCGGGGGTGAGCAGTCAGAAAGATGGGAGAGTATCCACTGTGAGTGCGCGTGGTGCCCATCAGGTGCTGGGGACGCAGCGTGGTCTTGTCGGCCCCTTCGTCGCTGAGGCCCGGCTCCTCTGATGGGCTCTCCCCCGCTTCCTGGGACCAGCCTCACCCCTCTGGGGCCTCCCCTCACGGCCACTTCTCTGGGCCATGTTCCCTGTCGCTGCCGCCGTCACATGTCCCCGCAGAGCCTGTGCTTGAAAGACAACCCAGACGAGCTCACTCGGAGTTCTGGAGGCCAGGAGTCCGACTCGGGTCTGGCTGACACCTGGGTGTGGGCAGGGCTGTGTCCCTCCTGGAGGCTCCGGGGAAGAATCCATCCCTGAGCCTCACTTGACCTCTGCTTCCAAGCTCACGTCCTCTCCTGAGCCCGACCCTCCTGATGATGCTGGGCTGCCCCTCACGTCAGTCACACCCGCAGAGTCCCAGCCCTTCCGCCACGTGAGGGCCCAGAGCCACGAGCCCTGGGGCCAGGGACCGTTGTGCCTAGTGCAGAGGCAGGTGGGTGTCCGAGGACTCGAAGAGGTGTGGGAGCACGGCGTCAGATTCTCGTGGAATCGTGGTGATTCCCTGATGGCTTCCCTGGGTGCCGGGGAGTCGTTCTCTCTCTCTGGTAGGAGAGCAGCCTCGGGCTGGGAGCCGGCCGGAGCATCCCTGGGGTGATGCTGTTCTGCGGGATCGCACCGAACCGTCCGTGGCCCCTCTGATGCCGCTTCCCCGTTGCTGGTGGGACAGACAGCCGTTTAAAGCAAAGGTGTGAAGAGTGATGGTAGCCTGGGCGTCAGGCCTTTGCACTCAGACTGTGGCGGAGGGGCCTGGAGAGCTAGAGTGTGGCAAACGCCTCCGGGACGAAGGGGTCTCTGAGGTCTGGGTCCTTGCCTGTGTGGGGCAGAGCCTTCCCTGATGCATCGTGCGCGCTTCTGTCAGGCCGTGGCTCCAGACCTCGGCTGCCCGGAACACGGGGGGGCTTTGGAGATCACTGCAGCGGCGGCGCTCACTCGGGAACTGAGTCTCCTGTTAGTAGGTGCCAGGGCCACGGCTTCAGTATATTTATTTTTTAAGATTTTATTTATTTACTTACTTGACAGAGAGAGGGAACACAAGCAGGGGGAGCGACAGAGGGAGAAGCAGGCTCCCTGCTAAGCAGGGCGCCCAGTGAGGGGCTCGATCCCAGGACCCTGAGATCACGACCTGAGCCACCCAGGCACTTGGCTTCAGTGTATTTTTAACTTTTTGGGGGGGTGTACAGTTCTCTGCATTGTCAACACATGGTGGTTAATTGTAGCGATAGTCAGGACGCAGACCTGTGCCGTCACCCCAGACCCCCGCAGGCCGTCCTCACAGGCACCCTCGCCCCAGGGCCCCGCGGGCCGTCCTCACAGGCGCCCTCGCCCCGGACCCCCGCGGGCCGTCCTCACAGGCGCCCTCGCCCCGGAGCCCCGTTGGCCGCCCTCACAGGCGCCCTCGCCCCGGAGCCCCGCGGGCTGCCAGTCTGCGGTCCATCTTCTGGGGACGCACAGAAAGGAACTCACAGTGTGTGAGCTTTGGGGGCTGGGTCTTTTGCTCAGCACGATGCCTTTGAGATTGACCCATGTGGTCGCGCGTGTTGGTAGTTGGTTCCTTTTTCACGCCAAGTAGAGCCCCGTGGTGTGGACACACCAGTTTCTCTGTCCCTCCCCCGTTGAAGGACCCAGAAGTGGTCTCCGGTGTTGGGTGATTTTTTTTTTTTTTTAAAGATTTTACTTATTCATGAGAGAGAGAGAGAAGCAGAGGGAGAAGCAGGCTCCCAAGGAGCAGGGAGCCCGGAGCGGGACTTGATCCCAGGACCCCGGGACCATGACCTGAGCCGAAGGCAGACGCTTAACCATCTGAGCCACCCAGGCGCCCAAGTGTTGGGTGATTTTGAATGCAGCTGCTTTAAAGACCTGGGTGTGCATTTCTGCGCGAACACGAGTTTTCATTTAGCCAGAGTGGATCGCCGGGAGTGTGAGGCCTGGCTTTCATGGCAGGCGTGTTTGATTTTAGAAGAAACCGCCGAACCGCTTCCCGAGGTGGCTGTGGCATTTGGCGTTGCCACGGGCAGCGTGTGAGCCTCCACGGTTCTAAGGGCTCTTCTTGGCTGCTCCGATTCGAGGGGGCCGAGAGAAACCCCTACCTGGCCGAGTCGGCCTGGTGGAAATCATTACTTGTTGTGGTTCGTCTAGCAGTGACTAGAACATAGGCCCTCGAGCACAGGGGCTTTGTCTGTCTTGTTCGCTGCTGTGTCCCTGGCGCTTTGAGTAGTGCCTGGTACCTAGTAGGTGCTCAACAAGGGGCTTGCCAGGGAGCGGTGAGTAACCCCCAGGCCTCCTCTGTTGGATGCAGGCGGGCATCCGAAGTCTCCTGTCAGGTCTGGAGGGAGAGCCTGGTCTGTTCTGCAGGTTAGGGGAGACGGCGGAGGGGGGACCGAGTTGGCCACGGTCAGTCACCTGCATCCGGTCCCAGGCACACAATAGCCAGGGGGCCGGGTGTCTGCCAGCCCAGGAAGCCCGAAGGAAGGCGGGTGGGCGGTCAGGAGCTGGGAGGCTGGGAGAGCCCGGGCGGCAGTCAGCACAACAGGAAACGCCCGCCGGCCTGAGCCTCTGGGCGGTCAGCGCTCAGGGAATCCTGGGGCGGCAGAGGCAGCCAGCAGCACAGGAAGAGAGCACGGGGCAGCCAGCAGAGGTGAGGGCCAAAGCCAGTGGCACTGGCAGGGCCAGCGTGCAGGAAGGCGAGGGCAGCAGCGAGTCCGGGGAGGTGAAGGTGGCAGCGTGGTCGTGGCTCAGGGTGGCCCGCAGGGCTTGCTCAGCTGATGAGGCTGAGTGGTCGGCTAGACTCTGGCTAGACTCTGAATCTTCGGGAGAGCGACGTCCCGCCTCCTCACCGTGGCCTGCGGGCCGTGGTCGGGCCTCCTGCCTTCACTCCCCGCCCCTCACCTGGTAGAGCTGGAGTAAATACACGAACGAGTTCCAGGGTGGGAAGTTCGGGCAGTGCTGGTGGCCAGGCCGCTCCGGGTGCGGCACCTGGGGGTTCCTCCGAGGACACCTTGCTTTGATACCACCTGCAAGTTCGGGGTTCCCAGGACCAGCCCTGAGAAGGATTCAGGACTTGATGAGAGCTGGAGTGCTCACAGTTCCGATTTGTTTCAGTGAAGGGACGCAGAGCACAGCCCACGAGGGGAGAGGCACCCGGGGCAGGTCCAGGAGCACGCCTCTCCTGGGGGCGCGTGGGGACAGCACCAGGTCGTGCTGACCGTGCTGAGGAGGGAGGCTCTCGAGCCCGGTGTCCAGGCTTCTTATTGGAGGTCAGCTTTATAGTCTGACTCTAGTCTCCGGCCCCTCTGGAGGCTAAGAGCCCCCCGTAAATCCCGTTGTTAACCTGGCCTGCCTGTCTCCACCCAGCCCTGAGGGGTCAGTACTGCATACTGAAACTCTGTCTCCCGGATGGCAGTGTGCGTCCCAGAGAAGTCAAGCACCTTGCCCAAGGCCACAGGGCTAGTTAGGGGGCAGTGGGAGGAATAGAACCCACAGGCCCTGGCTCTAGATCCTGCTTCTAAGCCCTGCTGTACGCCAGATACCGAGCCCCCAGTGCCTCACCCAGGGCCCCAGCCTCATCCCCATGGCCACTCCGCCTGGGTATCTTCTTGTGGCTGGGGCTTGGTCTCTGCACAGTCTAGCATCCCATGTCTGGGACCCCAAACCAGAGAGCCCCGGGCCATCCAGAGGATGTGTGTGCCCTAGAATTGCTAGGAGAGCCTGCTGGTGGTGTGGCTTCCTGGGCTCTGCTCGCGGGTGGGCTGATGGAGCTGCCGCAGAGGCCCACGGTGGCGGGCGCCTGGCACGTGTCCTGCTCCTGGCCTGCTGCAGTGGGGGCAGATGTCACATGTGGGTCGCAGGAGCCCCACCGAGGGCCGCGGAGTTGGGGAGTTCCCTCTGCTGTGCCCTCGGCATCTGCCAGTCTGGGTCAGGACTCGGGGTGAGATCAAGTGCCGCCTCAGCCCCTCTGCCCTGACCCCAGGGTGGGAGGTAACTTGCTCGGGGTCCCACAGGCAGGCCTGTGGCTGGAGGCACCTGGGGACCTGGTCGGCTTTAGGCCGAACCCTGACTCCACACCTCGGTACCCCCTTATCTTGACCCCCTTCTTCACCAGAGCAAAGGCAGACGGCTTGACCCTTTTCCCCATCCATCATTCACTCGCTTGGCGTCCCTTGAGGACTGTCGGAAGAGGCACCAGGAAGTGGAGCCCCGTCCTCTTCCATGGTGGTGGGAATGTGATGCGGGGCAGTCGCAGTGGGAGACGTCTGGCAGTTCCTGTGAGGGTTAAACACCTGCTACCCTCTGAGCCAGCACTTCACTGCTGGGTGTACGTGCACACGAAACTTGTCCCTGATGTGAGGTGAACGGCAGCAGGCCAGCAGTCTCCGTAATAGGCAGAAAATGGAAACAACCCGTGTGCCCACTGGAATAGATGCACAGAATGTGGTCCAGCCTCACAAGGGAACATTATTCAGCCACGCAAGGGACTGAAGCACTGACGTCTGCTAGAGTGACCATCAAAGGCATGGCGTGGAAAGGGGGAAGGAGCCAGTCCGAAGGGACTGTAGATTGCAAGATTCCACTAATGCAACACCCAGAACAGGCACACCCACAGACACAGAAGCCTGGGGTTCCCGGGGGTTGGGGCAGGGAAGGGGAGTAGCTGCTGCTGGGGTTGAGATTTAGTTTGCAGGTGATGAGAATACTCTAAAACTGGGGATGGTTGCACAACTCTGAAAACGCTGAAAGCCACGGAATTGTATTTTCAGTGGGTGAATTCTGCAGTAGGTGAATGATGTCTCACGACAGCTGTTATTAGAATGATTGGCACCAGGGATACCACAGAAGGAAGGCAGGCCAGGCCCTGCCCTCCTGGAACCCACAGTCTGTAGGAGGAGATGGGCAAGCACAGGCATAAAAATGCAGTGTGACAGTTAAGGTGACTCTGTCAGGGAGGTCTACCGAACGTTTCAGGAACAAGTGACATCAACTCCACACAAGCTTCAAACATTGAAGAAGGTACACTTCCCAACTCCTTCTGTGGGCAAAAGCAAAGATACTACGAGAAAGAAAACTGTAGGTCAGTATCCTTAATCTCTAAATAATTATGTTGCATGGGAGAACCGCCCCCCCCCCCCCCAAAACAAGAATACCTATTTACTCTGTGGTTCTACATGAAGTTTCTAGAATATGAAAACAGCTCTGTAGTGATGGGAAATGCATCAGCATTTGCTGATTCGTAATTCGGGGATTCAGAGAGATCACAAACGTGCCCAAGGAGACTTTTAGGGGCTGTTAGATATGTTTGCCATCTCGGCTGTGATGGTAGTTTCAAGAGTGTGTACATGTTGAAACTCACTGGATCGTATGCTTTAAATACATGCATTTATAACGTACATCCACTGTAACCTCAATAAAGCTGTTGAGTAGTGCGGCGTGATAGGTAGCAGGATAGGGGCTGTTCTTAAATCACACAGGGTCATAAACCTGTGTGTGGTGGCAGGGATGGGGACTCAGTCAAGTCTTGAAGGACGTCGGAGGTAGACAGGGAAAAGAGGATGGGAGAAGGAGCTCTAGGCAGAGGGAACAGAATATGCTGAAGCTTGGAGGTTTGAGAGAACCTGGCATGCGCAGGGCATCATTAACTTTCTACTATGGACTTCCAGGAAAGGACCTGGCCAGAGGTGGGGTTGGAGGAGGAGGTGGGGCCGGGGCCCGTGGGCCACAGCAGAAGCAAGCAGCAGGTCGTCACCCGTAACACCATAACAGCCTGAGCTGCACGAGCGGTCAGGAATCAGTTTACAGTCTGCTAGAGCAAAAAGGTGACCATGCAAAATACTCCTCCTGCCACCACCAGACAACGTGGGCATTCACAAATTCCAAACAATGCACGTTTGAGAAAGGCTCCGGAAGCTCCCTGCAGAGTCTTCTTGCTAGTTGATAGAATTTTAGGCATCACTGACTTCCATCCTAACTGTTGCATTTGATAGAAGTAAAGTACGAGAAGGGGGTTGGATGTGTGGAACTCAGGAGTCAGCTCTCCTTCATTGGCACTAGGATTCTGATCTGTTCCTTGGGGACAAGGGCTTAAGAAACAATGACAATAGCATAAAGACACCTAAAATAGTCTGAAACATTTTCAGTAACCTTCGGTGTTCTGGCTGGCACCATCCTGCTCTCAAGTGGTCTACTGTTTGAGCTGGGAAAAGTTCCATTCCTTTATTTTTTTTCCTGAGTTAAAGGTAGCTTATGTGTTTTTCTTGTGTATTTTGTCAAGGAGTTTGCACTTTATCCAGAGGGCAGTAATTACGAAGCTAAGATAGGATTTAAAGCAAGTGTATCAGTTGTCTGTTGCTACAGAACAAATCACCCCAAACTTAGAGGCTTGCAACAACAAACATTTGTTGTCTCACACAGTTTCCCTGGGTCAGAAATTTGGGGCATATCTGACTCAGGGTCTCATGAGGGGGTCAACTGGGGGCTGGAGGGTCTGCTACCCAGACGAGTCCCTCACATGGTGACCAGCAGGAGGCCTGGTAGCCGGCTTCCCCCGGAGCACGTGATAGGACTTGATGACTGCCTCAACGTAGTGGGGGTTGCCGGGGAGAAAAATTAGAGGCTATCGCTGTGGTTTCTCATTTCTGAGTGTGGGATCCCTCATTTCAGGGACCAGCAGTGAGGGCACCTCAGGATGTGACAGAAGGCTCCGGGGTGACCGTTGGAAAGGATGATGTTGGGATGATGCCCTTAGGTGAGTAGCTCACCCCCTCACCCACATGATGCTCCTCTCCCACCCTGAGGGGTCCCCCTTCTGCTCATCCTTCATTTGCTCAGTGAACATTCCTGGTGTCCCTGCCATGTGCCTGGCCCTGAGCTAGGCCCCAGGGCTGGAGATGGATCAGACGTGCCCCCACAGAGGGCACAGCGAGGTCAGACAGGATAGCCGGCGCCCGGCCATGCATACCAGCTGCTGGTGTGTGCCAGGCACCATCCTGCCAGCTCTCCTGCAGCCTGTGTTGCCACGTGGGAATGTGGCCCCAGTACATCAACAGTTTTTTCTCAAGAAAAGACAAAGTTTGGATTTTTATGAAACTGCCTGATTTTCAAATGTTTTTTACATTTTTAAACACACTGCTGTGTACCAAGCCAACACCACCGTTGGTTGACCCACTGGTACACTCAGCTCTCTGGAAGCCTGTGTCTAACAGAGTAGAAACCCAAGGTCCAGAGAGCTCAAGCAGCTTGCCTAAGGCCACACAGCAAGTCGAGGCCGGAGCCAGGGTGGGGACGGTGGCTTCTGCCCCTGATAGCAGGTGTCTCTGCACCCAGGAGAGGCCAGGACACCAAGGCTTGGGACCTGGTGGCTGGCATGGAGGGAATGTGTGGGTGGGGGCAGGGGGTTCACACTTTTTTTGTTGCACTGGGATTGTTTTTGTAAATTGAATCATGAGCCGGAGCTTATCTCTCTGGAACTCCATAGAGCAGTTTAAAAACCTGGAGAAAGGAAATGTGAGGTTCTTTGCCCACCTGACTTACCCACCCAATCATTTGTCTACCCAAAACCCACTCAGACGTCACCCACCCCCTTCACACATCGTGCAGTCAACCCACCTACTGTTCACCCATCAGCCCGCCTCCCTGCTCATTCATACATCTGTCTCCCCACTGTCCCCTCTCCTCCATCCACCCCCCATCCCCATCTATCCACCTACTGTCCACCTACCCATCTATCCATCATCCGTCTTATTTTTTTTTAAACCAGGAATTTTATTTTTTAAGATTTTATTTATTTATTAGAGAGCAGGGGAAGGGGCAGAGGGAGAAGCAGATTCCCCAATGAGCAGGTAGCCCGACACAGGGTTCAGTCCTAGGATCTGAGATCATGACCCCAGAGGAAGGCAGATGCTTAACTCACTGAGCCACCCAGGCGCCCCATCGTCCATCTGTTATTAACCACCAGGCCATCCATCCCTCGGTCCTCCACCCCTCCGTCTGTACCCATCTCCTCCTCCATCCACCTACCTACTGACCCGCCTTCCTCCATCAAGCTGCTCATGGATCCGCCACTCATCTTCATCCTCCATTCACCCATCCTCCCTCACACCCATGCATCCATGCGTGCATCCGTTTATTAGGCACTGCGTGCAGTGTGTACCGAGCGCTGTGCCGGGTCCTGGGGACACGGGGATGCGTAAGAAGCCTGCAGTCAGCCCGCCCCCTGCCCCCATGGTTTCCTGGCATTAAGCTTTGCTCCCGCCCCCTGCGCCCTGCACCGCCCGGCCGCCGTGTGCAGAGCCCCCTGCCCTCACTCTGTGCCTTTGCCTGGCAGGAGATGCGGCCCCCGGGGCTGAGGTGCTGGCGACGGGGGACGCCCAGGCCACGCGCCCCTACAAGCAGG